GTTGTTGTTCACTACGTGATGCATGACATTTGTTCGGCCTTTCTTGCCATGGCGTTGTAACTCCCGCCTAAGTGATTGGGTGGGACTGTGCAAATAAGTTAATTGTGGTCCACCAAGGGGATCAGTCAGTTTTTCCATACTGCTAGGCTTAAAATGAAATATCCCAAAGGCAGGAGAGAGAAAAACTCAAAACCACCATGAAAGAATAGCCAGGAGGGGAGCACGTCCTTTGGACCTCAGCTCCCTGTGCTAAGACCCTCCCAGGCCCAGGAGACATAGAGAGTGCTACAGAACTGAAGACAGCAAGACAGCAAGAGGCAGTAGCAGAGAAACATCAGCAGTAGAGACAGAAGAACCGAGATACTGGCAGGACACCAACAGGAGAATTATATATATATATACACAGTATGGTGAATGTGAAATTCACTTGCACCTGGAGCAGCAGAAAGTAGATGGGATATCCGCCCAGAATAAATGCGCACATTGCCTGGAAAACCAGTGCCCAAAGTTAGAGGGCACCGATTGTATGGAGGAGCTCATTCAATGAAACAGTTAAGTTCTTATTTTTAATTTTTATTTTTTGAATTCAGAAATAAAAATATCATTAACAGCTATGAGTTAAATATACAGACATAATCACTACTGCCCTCGTGACTCTGCCAACTACTAGGATTGAAAATGGCCAACTCCTTCCCTCAGGGAGTGGGTGACAGAGATCCCAGGAGTTGGGCAATTTTCTTAAAGGCACCCATCCTACCTCCCATCAAATATTTCTCAAACCAATTGCAGTGCAGGAATTCAGAGAGCTCAACAGAAAAGGTAGAGGTCACAGATTTATGCGTGTCCTCTTACCAACTCTAGCAGGCAGAAGATGAGAACAAAACTTCACATTTCAGGAATATTCAGTCTAATCTAGAGTGTCCCCACTGCCCAGTCATCTCATTGTATGTTCCAAGAGCCTTAATTACATGGAGTTTCAATGCTGGCTCAGTCTTATAGTTATTTTCCCAGAAGGACACCCCTGCCCCCAATAACAAGTTCCTTTCCTGCTAACCTCTCCTACTTTGTATTGAGGGGAGGAAGGGAAAGGAAAGAAGAAAAATAGGAAGGCAACATGAGAATTTCTCTCTCTTTTGGGTCCTGCTCAGTTGGAGTCAGAGTCTTCTGAGGAAGATGTGCTGGAGTCGCTGTCTTTAGAGCTTTTATCTCTATCCTCATCCTCACTGCTGGAGGCTGAGGAGTCACTGACTTCCTCCTCTTCCCCATCTTCCTTCTTATTTTCTCCAGATCTCTGTGAAGGTTGATGATTGACCTGAATAGTCTCTGGTGAATCTGCCTGGAACCTGTAGCTACTGCTCCTCTCCAAGCCGTTCTTGCAGGCCCTTCACTGACAGGGACTGCAGAGACATCTGTCTGAATTTGCTCATATTCTTACCCTTAGAATAGGTTGCCTCTCTGTATTCTGTATATTCCTCTGGAGACAGGCGCTTGAGCCAGAGATCCAGGTCAACATTGTACTGTTTCTGCAGTTCCTCAGCCAGGCTCTTGTAATGGTCCTTCAGGGTCTGTGGGATGCACTGCCAACGTCTACCAATCTCCACCGTGCGCTCTGTCATGGGCACATGTTGCAGCTCCATACTCGACCACAAATCCTGGTAGAACTTGTGGTATCCATTCATGGGGTCCTTCTTGGGTTTTCAGTGGAATTTCACCTCCTTGGAAAAGTCACCAGTCTCCAGAGAAGATCCCAATTTGTTCACATTTCCCTGAGAACCCTTTTGGATTTGAGTTTGGCGCCTCTTGGGGACATCAGATTTCTTGCAGTTCTGGATGAGATTCAGATCTGAATGGAGCCAGTAAGGCACAAGTAAGTTGCATGAGGAGGTGGCCCAAATGCCCGTGGTCTTCACTTGTGTCACATTATCTGCCCTCTCCCAGTCTGTACCTATGGCTTCATGGGGAGTTCCTCAAGATCAGTTGACTGAGGAAGAGAAAACATGTGCCTGGTTTACAAATGATTCTGAGCAAAATGAAGGTACCACTTGAAAGTGGACAGCAGCCACACTACAGCCCCTTTCTTGGAACTTCCTGAAGGACAGTGGTGAAGGGAAATCTTACCAATGGACAGAACTTTGAGCAGTTCACCTGGTTGTTCACTTTGCTTGGAAGGAGAAATGGCCAGATGTGTGACTGCATACTATTCATGAGCTGTGGCCAGTGGTTTGGTTGGATGGTCAGGGATTTGGAAGGAACATGATTGGAAAATTGATGACACGGATTTATGGGGAAAAGGTACGTGGATAGGCCTCTATGAATGGGCCGAAGTGGTAAAGATATTTGTGTCTCATATGAATGCTCACCAAAGGGTGACCTTGGCAGAGGAGGATGTTAACAATCAAGTGGATACAATGATGCGTTCTGTGGAAATTAGTCTTCCTCTTTTCCCAGCCATTCCTGTCATTTCCCAATGGGCTTATGAACAAAGTGGCCATGGTGGCAGGGATGGAGGTTATGCATGGGCTCAGCAACATGGGCTTCCACTCACCAAGACCAACTTGGCTACAGTCACTGCTGTGTGCCCAATCTACCAGCAACAGAGATCAACACTGAGTCCCCAATATGGCACCATTCCTTGAGGTGATCAGCCAGCAACCTGGTGGCAGGTTAATTACATTTGACCACTTCCATCATGGAAAGGGCAACATTTTTTTTATTACTTGAATAGACACTTAACTCTAGATACGGATTTTCCTTCCCTGCACACAATGTTTCTGTCAAAACTACCACCCGTGGTCTTACAGAATGCCTTATTCATCATCATAGTATCCCACACAGCATCATCTCGGATCAATAGACTCACTTCATAGCAAATGAAGAGCATAATAGACCCATGCTTGTGGAATTCACTGGTCTTACCATGTTCCCATCATCCTGAAGCAGCTGGCTTGATAGCACAATGGAATGGCCCTCTAAAGACACAATTACAGAGCCAGTTAGGTGACAATACCTTCCAGGGTTGGGGCAATGTTCTCCAGGAGGCTGTATATGCTCTAAACCAGAAACCAATATATGGTGCTGTTTTTTCGATAGCCAGGAGGCATGGGTCAGTAATAAAGAGGTAGAAATGGGAATGGCACCACTCACTATCACCCCTAATGATCCACTTGCAAAATTTTTGCTTCCTGCCCCTGTAACTCTATGCTCTGCAGGTTTAGAGGTCTTAACTGAAAGTTAAGAATGCCACCAGCCACTTTGGGCTCCTCATGCCCCTGGAACAACAAGAAGGGAGTTACTGTATTGGCTGGTGTGACTGATCCTAATTACCAAGAAGAAATCAGATTTATATTACATAATGGAGGTAAAGAACGGTATGTCAGGAATACAGGAGAACCCTTAGGGCATTTCTTAGTACTAACATGCCCTGTGATTAAATTCAATGGAAAACTACAGAAGCCTAATTCCAGCATGACTACTAATGACCCAGACCCTTCAGGAATAAAAGTTTGTGTCACCTCACCAGGCTAAGAACCACAACCAGCTGAGGTGCTTGCTGAGGGTAAAGGGAATTCGGAATGGGTGGTAGAAGAAGGCAGTTGTAAACAACAGCTATGACCACGTGACCAGTTGCAGAAATGAGGACTGTAATTATTATGAGTATTTCTTCCTTGAATGTGTGCATTGGAGCCCTGGTGGCACAGCAGTTAAGAGCTCAGTTGCTAACCCAAAAGTTGGCAGTTTGAATCTACCAGCCACTCCTTGGAAACCCTATTGGGCAGTTCTACTCATCAAATATTTTTGTTTTCTTCACTTATAAAATATAAGATGTTAACAGGGCTAATGCGTTTTTGGTTGTACACGTGTTAGTTGTTATCATGTTAGTCGCAGGTATGACTTTATAATTGTCTTTATTTAGAGATGTGTACAGATGCCAAGTTGACAAGGGATGGACTGTGATCGTTAAGGTTGTGTGTCGACTTGGCTGGGCCATGATTCTCAGTGGTTTGACAGTTATGATGCAGTCTGGCAGATAAGTAATGATGTAATCACTTACATAATGAGATCTGTTATAATGTACTCACCTCCATGATGAGATCTGTTATGAGCAGCCAATCAGTTGAAAGGGAGTTTCCTTGGGGGTGCGACTTGCATCCCATATAGGTGGACTTTCTGGCAAACCTTGTGGGTTTGCACACTCTGAATCCTGCAGCTGGCCCCTGTTCGTATGACCTCCTGTTCTTGGGACTTGAGCTAACAGCTTACCTGCTGTTTTACCTGATGATCTTGGGATTCACCAGCCTCCACATCCTGTGAGCCAGCGGTCTGCTGTCTGACCTTTGGATCATGGGTTTGTCAGCCCCTGCAGCTAAGTGAGTCAGGAGAAGCCTCCAGCCTAACCCTCGGACTTGAGGCTTTCCAGCCTCTACAAGCACTTGAGCTTTTTCTCTCTCTCTATATATGTACAGATATGTATATTTATACACTTCACTGGTTTTGCTTCTCTAGAGAACACAGCTAAAGGCATATATATATATACACACACACACACACATATATACACACACACTTTTTTATAAATGATACATTTCTTAATTAAAAAAAGCAATTAAGCAATTATCCCTTAAGGTGTAAAGTAACTCTGTTTACTAGATATGTGATTAGATCACAGCTTCTCAACTAGTGTGCCAAGATACTGACTCTCTCAGCCATGGGTGGCCAGGCAGGACCTGGGGGTCTCTGGGCTGGAGCAGCTTTGTGCATTTTCTCCTTTGTGCTCTATCACACACTGATATTCGCTATGTATGAAACTACATGGATACATTTGGAAGGACTGAGTTAGACCTGACTCCCTGATATGCCAAATAAGTATTTTACTATATTAGGCTGATCTTAGTTTTAACACCTAGTTCAACTTTAGAATAACTTTTTATAATTATAGAACTAAAAACTAGCCATTTCTTTAGATCCATAGGGAGAAGAAAAATGAATGCTAAGATTAACACATATATTAATGTAATATACATATAACCAATTTTTTTTTTAGTCTATCAGTATGCCCAGGATGATTCTTTCAGAGTAATTCATCAACTCAGTATGGGTTCTCAAACGAACCCTCTCAGGCTACTTCTCTAAGAGTCCCTGCTGCAGCCTGTACTGTGAAAGCTGCAATAGCAATCTGTCTCTTCACTTCTCCCCAGGCCTTGGAAGGGTCCGCTTTGCTTTCAATAACAAACAGAGCATCATAAATTCCTGGGAATGACTCCCCTGCATACTTGTTGTTGCTGCTTGGAGCATAGATGACATGCCTGTTGACAGAAAGAGTTTGCTGTCTATCAGTTGTCCAGATGATACATAAGAGAAAAACAAGAGCACTCTGCAATTCCTGGATTGCATATTCCTTAACTGTATTATTTTAATGTGCCACTTGTCAATTAAGCTTCCAAGTTCAACCATATCCAAAGAAGAGTCTGTGAAATATGTATTAATTGATTGTTAGGAAAGTGAGTAAATAGAGCATAATACAGTATGTTTTTTCATACTTATACACATGTTTATATATAAACATATATACATTTAAAAGAGGAGAGGGGCTAAAATTATATAAACAAAATATAAACAGGATTTTATATCTGACTGATGGGACTGGGGAGATTATTATTTTCTCCTGTGGCTTTCTTGATTTTCTGTATTTTGTACAATAAACATATTTTTTATAACAAGGAACAAAGCATAAATGCTAAAAATGAAAATATGTAAGAATCATATTATATAATATGAACAATATATTATTTACTATATATATTTTTAAATTTTCTATTTGCTTTCAAGGAATCAACTATGATATTCTCTTCACAGAGCTAAACAATGAGAAAAAAATATTATAATGTCATTTTTTTTTCTTACCTGTAGAAAGGCCTGTCTGGTAACCCTAAAGGATCAATAAATGCTCTTTCCAGAAACATTAGTTGATCATTCATAATTCTCATTAGCATTGGGCTGAAAAAGTAAATGACTACAGTTACAACTTCATGAAAATCTGTGCACTACAAGGAAATCAAAAATTCAAAACAAAACTAAACATAAAAATTAAACCTGTTGCTATAGAGTCAATTCTAACTCATAGAGACCCTATAGGATAGAGTAGAACTGCCTCATAATTTTCCAGGGCTGTGATCTTTATGGAAGCAGACTTAGCAAATATATTTTAAATTCTCATAATACACAAATTAAGAAAAAAAATACATATAGTCACTGTATTTTAAAATTCCATGACATACTATTCTGTTAAGCTTATAAAACCACAGAAACAGTTACATGTGCCAATGGAAGGTAAGAAGTGTTAGTAATCTTTATTTACATTGAAATAATAATTAATTGATAAACCTTAGTATTTTAAATATAAAACCAAAAAAATAAAAACCCAAACTAAGCCCATTGCCATTGAGTCGATTTGGATTTGGTTGTTTGGTTTTTACTTCTTTCAGCTGCACTATGTGTTGAAAGGAAAATAAGAAAAACTAAAATCCCCATGATTTGTATTTGAGCACTTTCAGCATCATTTATTTAGCATCACAAACTCAGGTTTTGTGATAGTATAAAGGTAAACTAAGCACAGACTTTACCTGTGAACAGTTCACATATACTAACAAAAGAGACAACTGAATGAAAGATAATTTCAGTAAAATGTTAGAGGATTCTGAATCAAATTAACAGAACATGGCGAACCAAAACAAGAACCAAACTCGTTGCTGTCAAGTTCATTCTGACTCAGAGCAACCCTATAGGACAGAGCAGAACTGCTCCATAGAGTTTCCAAGGAACACCTGGTAGATTCGAACTGCTGATCTTTTGGTTAGCAGCTGTAGCTCTTAACTACTATGCCACTACGGTTTCCAAAACATGGCTAGGAACAAAAAATCCATTTGGATACACACACACCTGAACACACACACCTCTCTCCCTCTGGAGGTAATGAGATCAGCAAGTGGTAGAAAATAATGTACACTCTGAGAAAAGGAGAGTTTAGTTGAAGTATGAGGGGGGTGGAGCAAGATAGTGAAGTGAGTAGAGGCTCCCATTTACTCCCCCAGCAACTAATCCACCGAACAAAGAATAAAAACAAGCACAGACTGAAATCTTAGAACACTGAGAGGCAGCTGAGTTACTGGAAAGTGAGGGTGAGTCCAGAAGCAGGGGAAAAGAGGAGCAGAGATGGCACAGAAGGTGGGAGAATCTACCTGCTGAAACTGGGAGCACTCCCTCATCGCAGCCACTTTGAGATGGGGCTGGGTAACACCCCAAACAGGGAACACAGAAAAGGAGCTAACCTGAGGAAGCTGTAGCCCAATTGTTTTAAAGCAGTGTGAATTGGCCATGGGAATTCACAGGCCTTGAAACTAGAGGGTGAGGGGTGGGGGACGGGAGGTAAAGGGAGACCATGTCTCTGCAAGAGAGTGCTGTTGAATCTCAATGAGATGTGAGACAGATGGACACTAGGACGGAGAAGAACAGTAAGGGCAACAGTACAATGGGAATACTTTGGACTGAAGAGATGTCACAGAGGGAGATGACCCGCAGCAGGACACCATGGTTGAGCCTGTACAGGTGCACCTGTGAGGGAAATACAAACAGCTCCCCACCTTCCCCACAAGAAATTCAAGCCTCACCACTTACATCACCATCTGCGAACAGCTAAACCCTCCCTCCCCCCAATGCATGGGTATTGAATTCCAGAGATCAAGCATCCAGAACTCCTGAATTAGCACTGAAAAAAAAACTAAGGATATGAGTGTCCTCTAGTGGTTCTCAGGAGAAGATATGAAGCCAGCCGTTGCTGGGTTGATTCTGATTCATAGAGACCATGAGGCTCAGTGGAACTGTTCTGTGGGGTTCCCAGGGCTGTGAGTCTTTTCAGAGGCCGGCTGCTACATCTTTTTCCCATGAAACGGCTGGTGAGTGTGGGCCCTGGCCTTTCAGTTGGCAGTCAGGCTCTTGGACCCTGCATCACCCAGGCATCGAATAAGAAAATTTTCCCACAAAAACAAGAATACTATATTTGAAGTTAAAAAAAAAAAAAGGTAACAAAGTGGCCCATATTCAACAAAAAATAGTAAAAATCACAGAAGAAGGACCAGTCAAGAGCAAAGCATTAAGAGAAAATTTCTCCTATGGAAGCTAGAATAATGCAAAGAATTGATAATTTTCAGACTATGGTGCTAAATATGCTTAAAGAAAGCAAAAAGCACACAGAAAAAAATAGCAGGGATCAGGAAACAAATGGAGGAACAAAATGAGAGACTTGATGTAAAAATCAAAAACATCAAAAAAAATGATAATAATAAACCAAGAGAACTACCAGAACTGAAGAATAAAACAAATGAATTAGAGAAAGCAAGAGAAACACTCAACAATAAAATTGAACAGACAGAAGACAGAATAAATGCACTAAAAGATAAAAGAAAAGAACAAAGAAAAGAGGACAAACCCAAAAGGAAATATGGATTCAATTAAGAAATCTAACATTAGAATTATTGGAATCCCAGAGCACCATAACAACAATAAAGACATAGAAATGATTTTCCAAGAGATAATCAGAGAGAGTTTACCAGACCTGAAGAGAGAACCAAGTCTGCAAATACAGGAAGCTACATGAACCCTAACTGAAAGAGACACAAAAAGATCAGCTGCATGCCATATCCTAACAAAATTCTTGAAAACCAAAGACAGGAGAGAATTCTGAAAGCAGCAAGAGAAAAACAATATAACATACCAAGGGGCTTTCATAAGAATCAGTGCATATTTCTCCCAGAAACTCTAGAGGCTAGAAGACAATTGAGCAACATATATAAAATAACATATACTCAACATATACTGAAAGAAAACAATTGATAGCAAGAATTCTTTACCCAGCAAAGTTGTCATTCAAAAACAATGGGAAAATCAAGACACTCCCAAACAAACAAAAGTGCTGAGAATTTGCCACCACCAGATCAGCTCTGCAAGTATTACTCAAGGGAGTACTCCAAATGCAAAGGCAAGAGCATTAAATAAATACTCATATCTACACATCATAAAAAATGAACAAAAAATGAGAGAGAGATCTCAAAAAACCTCAAAAAATACAGGCAATAATAAGGACTAAATATATGATACTTTCAGGGAATAAACTCAATAACCAAAGCCAGCAAACAGTACATCAAGTTTGTAAGAAAAAAGTACAAAGTAAACTCGTCAAATAAAAACCCAAACCAAACCCATTGCCAACGAGTTGATTCCGACTAATAGTGACCCTATAGGACAGAGTAGAACTGACCCATAGGGTTTTCAAGGAGCAGATGGTGGATTTAAATTGCTGACCTTTTGGTTAGCAGCCTGAGCTCTTAACCACTGCACCACCAGGGCTCTCCAACTCATCGAATATAGGCTGTATATTGATGTTCATGGAGACACACCAACAGAAATGTGGATGGGAGGAGCATATCAGGAGTAGATTTATTCTGTTAAGGTTGTATATTAACTGTTGTTCATATGTTAAACGTTGTTGCAATTGTAAGTTGTGTAATATAACCTATGTGGCAACGGCTAAGAAATAACCTAGAAGAAACATTCAGAAGGAAAGAAGGAAGTTAGCAAAAAGGCTCATCATAAGAAAGCAGTCAAATACAAACAAAAAACAGAAAAATTCAGAATTAAAAAAATAAAGAAGATACAAAACACTCAAAAAACAAATAGCAAAATGAGTGAGGGAGACACTTTGTTTTCTGTAATAACCTTAAATGTGAATGGATTAAATGCCCCATATAAAAGGCAGATAGTAGCAGAGAAGATTTAAAAAAAAAAAAGATCCATTATTTTGGTGTCTACAAGAAACAAAACTTAGACATAAGGATACAAACAGACTGAAAATAAGGGACGAAGAAAAACATACCACGCAACTAGTAAATAAAAAAGAGCACAGTGGCCATCCTGATATCAGATAAACTAGACTTTAAATCAAAATCTATTACAAGAGATAAAGAAGGATATTACATAATGATAAAAGGGTCAATCCAGCAAGAAGACCTAACAATTATAAATACGTATACACCTAACAGCAATGTAACAAAATACATGAAACAAATACTGACTAATATGAAACGAGAAATAGAAAACTCCACAATAGTAGGGAACCTCAACAAACCATTTTCAATTATAGACAGAACATCTTAAAAAGAAGATCACCAAGGACAGTGAGAACTTAAATAAAACCATAAGGCAATTGGACCTAACTGACATAAATAGAACACTCTACCCGGTGTCAGAACACTACACATTATTCTCCAGTGCACATGAATCATTTTCCAAAATAGACCATGTGCTAGGACACAAAACAAGTCTCAGTAAATTTTAAAAGACTGAAATCAAACAAACCATCTTCTCTGATCATAACAGTATGAAGCTAGAAATTAACAACAGGGAAAATAAGGAAAAAAAAAACATGGAAAGTAAATAATACACTACTAAAAATCTATTCCCCCACGTGTCTGTCAGTTTGTCGTACTGTGGGGGTTTGTGTGTTGCTGTGATGCTGGAAGCTATGCCACTAGTATTCAAGCACCAGCAGGGTCACCCATGGCTGACAGGATTCAGCTGAGCTTAATGATGTGGATGGAGTCAAGCTTTCGGGACCGTCATTTGTCGATTGGC